CTTACCTAAATTCTAATTTCGGGACGAAATTCCCTTTAACAGGGGGATGATGTGACAACTCGAAATTTTCATTCGGTCAAACCCTAAAAGTAAACCACCTCTTGTCATAAATTAATGTCATTATTTCTTATTTTTAAGAAATTTAAAGTTCGTTTGATTATTTTAATATTATTTTAAGTGAACGGGTGAAAGAAAGTGTTGTCTCGGGTTTTGAAATTTAAAAATCGCAAACACCTTGTGTCTTAGAATTTCAAGACCAAACTTTTAGGTTTGGGTCGAAAAATCATCCCAAAAACATAAACTCATGCCTTAAGCATGAGTTTACTCCCCAAGTCTACTCATTTTGTGTTTACTCCCCATTTACCAAAAGAGTAAACTCCAAAATATCCTTTCAAGTATCATCCAAGTTTTTATTCAAAATCTTCAATCTAGTAAGTGTTTCTGGCCCTTTCAAGTTAGTATATCACTTAATCTAGTGATTGTACATCCTTTAATCCATCCATTTTTGTGTTTTGATTAGTTTTTCCAAAACACCAAGAACACCAAGAACACATACTAGTGTTCTTGGACTTAAAGTTCATTTCAAGCTTCCACGATGTAAGTACTTCTATCCTAGATTCATTTTAAGCTTGCTATACATGTTTATACCAAAGAAAAGTCCCAAAAACGCCAAGATAAAGGTGTTCACGGTTTTGGGAGGTCCCAAAACCGTACACACCAAGTATAGGGCCAAAATGGTGTGTTAAGGTCCTTATCTGCTTCATAATGCCTTAGGGACTTGTCTAGGTTTATCCTTGAAGAGTTTATCACACAAAAAGCACCGAAACCTTCCATTTTTATGTGTTTATGGTTTGGGGATGTCCCAAAACCGTAAACACCCCAAAAGGTGTGTAAATGTTCCACAAATGTCCCCTAGTTGTTCCTTAATCCTAAATCTAACCTAGACTAGTGCCATGATTGAGCTAAGGACTTGAAAAACCCAAATACCATAAACTTAGGAGTTTAAGGTAGTAAACTCATGAAAAATGGTCCTTAGATCGTAAAATACATTTAAGAGTGTTTTGATGGCACACAACACTTCCCAAGGCTAAATCATCAAGTAGTAATGCTTGGAATCGATTTGAAGACTTCAAATCTACAAATGGTCAAAAGGTTATGAGTTTACGACCGTAAACTTAAAGGGTGTTGATCTTTAGGGAGTAAACTCATTTTAGGAGTGTTCCTTGAACCCCAAACATACTAGCTTTTCCTACAACACTTAGATGCACTCCTTAACACTTATAACACTTATGCAAAGTGTTTGTCATGTCCTATAGTGTCTTGACTTGTTTATCAGTTGCTTAAAGACTAATTTTTTTATATACATATGTCCTCATATGTAATTAGGATCTTTGTTTGTGTCTAAGTCTTCACTTGACACCAAGCACTTATCCGACACTTCCTTCTGATCCACTCGCAACAGGTGAGTTCATACCCCTTAATCAATGTTTTAAATGTTTTATGGGGGGGGGATACAAGTAGAATCATGCTAGTTATTATATCAATCACATGTGATTAATAAGCAGTATTCAAATGATTTACTACACATTAGCTATTTTACCAAACAATTGTTATTCAAAGGATTTTCATATATGTTTTATATGTTTAAAACTCCTGATTTAATTTTTCATTATACACATTATGTTTCATTTCAAACTCATTTACAATTGTGTTTCAAACAAACGTTTCTTTGTATTTAAAACGGTTTTGTTAGATAAATACTTCCAACCCGTTTTATAGATTGACATCAAGTCGATCTTTTCTTAGATAGTAATCCTGTTCAAAAGGTTTTACAAAACTTATTTTATGCTTTTATATTGTCAGTTGCATGCATATATATGTATGTTATATAAGAAATGTTTAAAGAACTTAAGAAGGCTATTCACCCTATTTCCTTTTCGCGCTTGAGATGTGGTCTGGTGGGATATCGGGTATCCGTCCGAAGGTCCTTTAAATATTAGTTATATATTATGTGTACATATATAGTCATAAAGGTTCTTCCAGTTGATTCAGTAGCCTTGGGTAACAAGGGTATACATCCATGTTCATACGTACCAGTTACATTACTAGTAAGCTACCATATGGGTAGTTTAGGAAGATACTAGAACTACTACTAGAACGCGATATCATACAACGAGTCAGTTCATTCATGAGTCTATACATGCTAGATAGAGAGAACACACATTACAACTAGTACGCACAATACATTACTATACATGCTAGATAAAGAGAACATACATTACAGCAAGTACACACAATACATTACTATACATGCTAGATAGAGAGAACATACATTACAGCTAGTACAGACAGTACATTACTATACATGCTAGATAGAGAGAACATACATTACAGCTAGCACACGCAGAACATTTTAGTACATACAGGCTAGACAGAGAAAGATTACACTTTCAGTTAGCACATTCATTACATATACATTTATGAAGTTATGTGAACCATTGGGCGGGTCATGGCACTTCCTGCCATGACCACCCTTGTATCCCGAATCTCCTTAATTGGGGATCGTATGAGTTTGCGTATAGATCTATACTCGATTGACTATCCTACACCTTGCTACTCGCTATAGTGGGACTTGCAAGTCTACGGGTGCCAAATGTCATTTCTTACGGCGTCTTACATCGTCGTTTTACTAGAGTCGGTAGCAGGATACAGGCCGATCACATGTTATAATGGATACCTTTTTGTGTTTTAAGTTAGTTAGTACAGCGGTAGTCACTTATTACAAATACTACAGAATTTTCAAGATTTCAATAGACTTAAGGTAGTTAGTACGGTTGTAGTTATTTGATACTACCCCATAGTACTATTTCATTTTCCCATTACATTCACTTCGTGAACATTCACACGATGCACGGTAATGTAGAACTATATTTTTGGTTAATGGTAGTCAGATTTGGGAAAATACACATTCTTACAAAAGACACACACATGGATACTAGATGCCTTGGTAGAAGGATACAGTTAGTAGGAAACATAGGGTTTTCTAGGATGTTCATTTACATACAAATACTTACAGTTCATTTACATACAACTACTTCCAGTTCATTCGTACAAATACATACATTTAAAATTCATACAAATCAAGACACTAAAATGCTTATCATCTCACCATCTGTAAAGCTGATACTCTCTTTCAAAATAACTTGTATCCTCAGATCAACCGTAGACAGGTACAGATGCAAGGTTTAGAGAAGATGGTGCTCCTTCAAGACTCATCTTTCATTTTGATTTATACTTTAGTGTCTATTATATTTTGACAAAACACACTTGTATTAAAATTATATTATTAATGCAATGGATGATGTTGTTGCTTGTTTACTACTTTTCATTTTTGTGATACTGTACATGACGTCCTCCGCCCCAGAACGTTTCCGCCGTTCTTGGTTTTGGGGTGTGACATCCATGTGTTTGTCTCCCACAGATAGAATGTTCCATCACTACATAACAACATGATAATTGCTTTAGTGCGTGCCAAATCTTTTTTAATATGTGCTTGAATGAATATATCAACTGAATACATCTGAGTCCAATGATAAATAACATTAAAAATTTGCAGCAAAGAAGTAATCTCTAGTAGGAGACCACTTTAGTAGTGATATTCTCCCTAATACTCGCTGAATGGGTGTGCCCACCCCTGTACAAACACCCACAACAAGAATTGCTTATATCAAGCTCAATATATGAAGAAAGATCATCTTTTTAACATAATCTCTAGTAAGTTTTAACCCATTAGCTTTTTTACATATCAAAAGAGAAATACGCCTTTAACTTCCTTTTAAAAAAACCAACAAGAGCATTGTCATGATTAACTTTTCTGGGGTATATTGAAAAACTCAACATGCATAAGAATATACCTTGAGCAAAATCCTACATTGTGAACGATGAGCTCTCATATGAAGTAGATGCTACATATGTGAAGATACGTTAAGGGAAGCATTATATTATAACTGGATATTAAATTTAGTCATGCAAAAAGACTCTAAAAATCAACATTTCAAAATAGATCAAAGTAGCACTAAATAAGAAAAGCAGCATGCAAGCAAAACAAAAGCTACTTAGGATATCTTCCATCAGGACCCCATGAGAGTGCACTTATTTGTTCATCACCATGGCCTCAAAGAAAATCCACAAGAGTCCATCTAACTCCAGAACCTATATGAAGCAGACCAAATGCAAATTACACCCTTGTTTATACATTAATAGAAACTCATGAGCTTCCACATGCCAAGAGTGCAAGGGTATGGATGTCAAATATACTAACTTGCAGCCTACTGAAAGTGTCTTCCCTACATCATCTAAGTATATAAGTACTCATCACGAAACTGCAAGACACGAGGCATTAAATAAATCAAAATTACATTTTGATTTTCTTTTCCTTTCAGTAACGATTAACATTTAACAAAAAAGTAAAAGGCCCCACCACATCACTCTCTACCTTTTAAAAAATGTTCGCTTTTATCGGTTACAAGAGGAATTCATCTTTTTTTTTTTTGTTTATATGCATCATATATATATATATATATATATATATATATATATATATATATATATATATGTATATATATATATATATATATATATATATATATATATATATATATAGATATATATATCCTCCAACAATAACATAATCTCTTCTATCAAAACTTTCAACCTCCTCTCCCTCGTATATAAGATGATTTACACTCAAATCAAATCCCTAATAATCTGATTCCATCCAGTCATACCTTTTTAGGTTTTGGGTTTTTATTGTTGAAGTTTATTACTTTAGTAGTTATTATGCCAGTTGATTTGAGTTGGTTGGGGTTGTTGCTGCTGATAGACACTAGCTGCTGCTGCAGGTCCCAGCATGTCCACACTACCCAGTCCACCACCAGCCAATGGGTCAACTGCACCAGTGGTTACCGGTTGAGGCGGGTGATAAATATTAGCAAATGTTGCTGTGTGGCCGTGGTTAAGTTGTTGTCTACGCCAATATGAAATACAACCTAACAAAGGGTATTTCAATCAAAATAATCTGCAAAATCATGAAAATCATTTGGCCTGAGCATGAAAAGAAAATTAACCTTTAGGAAAGGGTATTTCAGTCAATGACCAATATCAAGAAAATCTAGTAATAACCTTAGAAAGGGTATTTCAGTCATTTATACAAATGAGTATAATACATTAGTACCTCGGATGCTATGCTAGCTAAAGCAAAAATCTCCTCAATCCGAACACGCCAAAAGGCCTTAACAAGGCAGAAATGGTCATAGTTGCACTTTAATAATTTTTTTACAAAAAACTAAAGCATTGTACGTTAAAAGAATTTCTTACTTTGAAAATTCTATAACTGGGTAGATTTTTCAATGGACAGGTAGAAGAAATAAACAACTTCATTAGCCAGGTGGCGAAACTGCATCATAAAATTTTAAAATTACCATCAATTTATAATAATATTTTTTTCATGTGAAATCAAAGCAATCACCTCTTTTGTGCTGAGAGTTCTCAAAGGACGAGCTGTATCTTTAGGTGGTGCAACCAGATTCTTCAAAACCTAACATTGCCAAGAAGAATAATAATAATATAGTGGAATGAAGATGCCTTATTAGTTTATTAGTATAATACTAAGGAATGAAGGTAAAGCTAACCATCTTGCTTTATAAAATGACTCGGGGCCCGTTTGTTTTTCCAACATTTGGAGAACTGCAACCTGTAAGAAAGAAGCAGTTGCAAAGGTAAGACTTATCACTTTTATGAACAACTATTTGATCGAAGATCAAACTTCTTTATAAATGCTCAATTTCTCATCACTTGCGTGGTGGTTGGGCACTTTTCACCTTCTTCCTTACGTAGATGCTCTGGGATAGAAATAAAAAAGAAAAATATGTAATATTCATGCCATAAACATAATTACGATACTGCCCTTTCACAGCAGAGAAGTTAAAGGGTGCATCAAGGGTAAGGTTGTCATTCAAGATGTAAGGTTGTCATTCTTGTACAAGTACTCAGGGACACAAAAGGTAACTGTTGCTGGCAAGGCTGGTGGAGAAGCTTGATGTTTGCCTGAACAACAACCTGCAATAACCCATTGGAATCAGTGTTTAAACACAATGTTCTGCTTAAAACAATAAAAAAATAAATTACACCAATTAGAAAATTACAAAATCTAGAAAGGCTATATCACAAAGAATAAACCGAATTGAAGATACATAATACAAAATGGATAATCCCTATATTTGAACATGGTAAGGTCAGAATTATAACTATCATATATAACTACTGACATATAACAAGCCATAAACTCATATACTGGATACAACCCAACTGGATTATAACCTAAACAAAGGAAGATAAAAAGATCCAAACTTCGAATGAAACAATACCTGTATTCAACCAAATTAAATAAAAATTGGTTTATTCAATATTTCATGGTGGCCATAGATAGGCAAGAAGCAGCAATGACGATGAACAAAGAAATATTGGACCCAAAAAATCAGGAGAAAAGGGTGAAGAGAGAGAGAGAGAGAGAGAGAGAGAGAGATGGCTACAGGCCTTCAAATTAATTTTCTAATGGTGCATGTGATATGATGAAAGAAACTTTGAAGTTTGGCAAGTAATAAAGAGAAAATGTGTGCCATCACCAGGAGGTGGCAAGGAGCGATGTCATCTTATTATCTCCTAGAACAACAACAAAATCAAGAGGAGACAAGAAGCTCTCTCGAAAAGACCGTATTCTTTTCCTAAAAAACTGAAAATAGCCTAGGATATGATACCATGAGACAGGTGACAAAATAGGCGCGAGTCTGTAGGAAGGAGAATATCCTTTGAGGATTCTGTTACAATTCATATAATTTAACCCGGGTTGTCCTATTTGCTAGTCCTTAAATTTTCACATTTATTTAGAGTCTCCTTATTAAAAAAAATCACATCAAAATCAAATCTCTTTTACTACGACTATAGTCAATTCGACATAACTATTTGTAACTCTTATTTGTTCAATGAAGTTGCATATAACCATCTATCTCTTAAACTTTATATGGGCTATACATACATTGAAGTTTAGCATGTATTCAATAACATAGTAATTTAAATATGATCTAATATGCTCATAACATAGAATAAGTCAACAAAATCCACAACTAAATTGAGATTAAATGTAGTAATGCACGATCTAATAACTGACTGGAATGAATCCAAAAACCTGATTAAAGCATTTCATCGAGCCGTTGGAGTGCTTCATAAAACTTTCTTTCAAATGTCAAACCAATCCACACAGAAGAACACATAATTTGAGAGTGTAAAAGAAGGGTAGCAGTAAGAGAAACACCAACTAAAAGCAAATCAAAATTATTACCTTGGTTGTCGCAAACCCTCCATCGATATCGACTGATATATTCAGTTTACCTACCTGCAATTTGAAATTAGAAGAATAATTGGGCCTAAAACCCTCCAATCGCAAGTCCCATGATAAAAAATGATCGAGCTACCTCAACTGCATTTTTATTTGCCTTTTAAATCATAACCGTAACAAATCATTCTTGATTGATAATCCTTCAAATTGTGTTCTTCGTCATGAGAGAGAGAGAGAGGTCAGATGGTTAGGATCTCTATCTCACAGTAAAGAAGGTGTGAGACCAAACCACCAACATCCATTCGTTGATCGATCTTCTGCTCCAAAGCCCATATGCTACCTTTGTTTTCGATCTCTTCAGTCACATCCATTTCAATTCTCTAACCCACGATTGAAGCAACACCAACAAAGAAATCGACGGACTTGAACACCCAAGATCTCATAGTTTGTTGTGTTGTTGGCCTCCATAGTTGACTGAAGATGGTGAAGATTTTGCCCTAATTCATCGGTATGAGAGGAAGAAAAAGAGACATATAGTGTTAACGGATCCAAATACAAAAAGGTACTGAGTGTGGATAGAGAAAAGGTAGATGAAATATGGTAATCACAACATACCTTTATATAACAAGAAGAGGAGAATCAAACCCGTCAATCGGATGTTGGGCTTGTAAGGAGAAGCGATTTTCGACCCATGGGGAAGGGGAATTCGAACCTTTATTTGCGGTGGTGTTGGTAGTCCGATGTATATAGGGTGGTGGGGGCCTGAATCTTGAAGAGTTAATACTTAGGTGGCCTTCCATATCACAGTTCTTTGTTTCATCGATACATATATATATCCGAACATAACACACTACAAATATGGTGGTGTGAGTGACGGCTAGGGTTCTTGGGAGAGAAAAAATGATTTTTTTTTAGAAAGTGTGTGAGAATTTCTTTGAAGATATTGTGGAGAAAAGAATACAGAAAGAAGCAGGTCAAGGAATAGTGCAAGAACACTGTTGGCGAGTATTCTCAAGAACAGCAGAGATGAAGCAGATAATGGAAGTCGAGAGATGGAGATGAAATCGTAACCTTGGAAAAGGTTGCACAACAGTGTGAGGAGAATGAAAGATGCGTCAAAACGCTTAGGTCAAAGAGGTAGCGGGGTTTTCTAATTTTTACGGCTTTTCTTTTCCCGCTTGTAACTAAAGAACGCACGTTCATAAAAATTATAAAGCGACACCTACAGAGGGCGCGCATTTAAGATACAACGCCCTCCGTGTTTTTAATTTTTTTTCTAATGACAATAACTTAAGGGCGCGCAGTAATGCGTGACTTAAATCCTTAAATTTTCTGAATAGATGACACGTTTTTAATGTCACTCTCGGTTGCGTAACATAAATTAATGAGTGTCATGGTTTGCGCGTCTTAAAAGGATGTTTTGCTAGTAGTGCCTCATTCACGAAGCCGACCTATAAGGGGGGGGGGGGGGTATAAGCAAACTGCCTATAAAATGGCGGTTAAATGGGTTTCCACTCTCACCCACCGCTTCCTTGATTAGTGGAGGGTCGTTAGCCGAATGGGTAGGATATATCATTCATTCCTCATTAATAAGTATGATGAAATTTATAAAGTAACTAAATGTTTTTATAAATTCCCAATCTTAGTTACTTTAGGAAAAATGTGAAAATGATGGTAGTCCATGAAATTGCAGTTTGCACCTTGCGAAGTCGTTAATGGAGCGTGTGTGGTTAATCGACACACTAACTTGCACTAACAAGGGTGGAATATGGTAGCTTGAGAATTAATGAGTGCGCATGTGTTGGGTTTTGAGCATTCTAATACTCATAAGTGTACATGAAACCCTAAATATCTTGGATCTATGTTTTCTCTATTATACATGCAAATATGAACTTTCCAAGGTATTCATTCTAACTAGCAAAAATAACAATGATTCCTATGGATATCTCAAGTTAGAATTACATACCTCTTTGATGTAAAAATGTCTTCATGAAGCTTGAGTGCCTAGTGCCCCATGTATGACACCTTAAATGGTTCACATAGCACCAAATGCACATGGAATGACTTGAGAGAAAAATGGAACACTCCTTGAAATCGTCTAGCCCTCATATTCACACACTAGTGCACGATTTCTTGAGCCATGGGATTCTTTTATATGGTGGCTTTTAGGGTTAAACCATGTAACTCATAACTTTACCCATTCCTTATGCTCCATTTATTTTAACCTCCATGGAGTATCCATGGGTCACCCCCATAGACTTAGTCCACCATAAGGAATCTTGGATCACAAGCCCACATATATAAGAATGAATGATTTACACAATCAACTCATATATTTAATTAGTATCCTTTTGATCACTTAATTAATTCCAAATTAATTCTTGATCAATATTAATTAAATAACCTTATTAATATATTATAAATTATAATATATTAACCATCCTTAAGTGTCATTTCTCTCATTATAGTCTATCCAAATGCATGATGCCATGCAACCCAAATGGACCATGCCAGGTCGGGTCAAGTCTTCCCAATTATAGTTATGGACTTAGACATTAATCCAATAGTTTCCCACTTGGATAAGTCTAAAACTATTATTGCGTATGACTTCAAGAACCGAATGGCAATCGTAGCTCTCAATAGCTTCTGTCGAACTCTACCCTAGTCGATGAACTCTGAACTTTGTCAAGGACTTGCCCATTAGATAAGGGATCATATATTCCTCTATTCTAGATATCATATGGACTGAGACATGGATTATAAATAATTCTCTTTGTCCATTTGTTGTTTCCCGATTTCCGATTCATGATGACTGACTGATTGAACAAATCAAATCAGTCCTGGCTTGGCCAAGCACTCACATGTATCATCATTAAATCATCAAGGGGCCCACAGATATCACTTCTATCCCGAAGGTAAAAGGAATGGATAAACTTTGACTCATATAGCTTGTTCTACAACTTGTTGAATCTTACACAAAGGGACGTTTTATAACATGAAATTACCGAATGCGTTTTCGTGCAATCAATGTACAACCAACTCATAATAACAACTCATATATCTAGGTTTGAAGAATATAAGATATTATCATCTCATGATCACTCGTGATAAAATACATGAAGTGATTCCAATGAGCGCGAGTTGAATCCAATACGCAGAACTTATGAGCACTGATAAGTGTTGTAGGACAACTTTGTCCACCAACTTGGACCTCTACAAGCCAACCCATGACCATCTTGATTCATATCTACTTCCAACATATGACCGAATGTGGATGGTTTGAATAATTTAGTGATTCTGGAAGAATAACCTAGTTTATTCTGGAAGTCAAAACATGCAAAATGAAACACAAGAATAATTGAATATAATATGGTATCAAAACCAATGAACATAAATATAACACCTTTTATTTATCACCATATGATTACACATTATTCATTGCATAATGTTTTAGCTATCAACTTTATTCTTGAATTAAAACAATACTTATCCCATGCTCCGAGCATGTACACCATGTTTCTCTAAACAATAGCTTTGCCATACACCAAGTATGCACTCTATGTTTGTCTATGATCCTTACTTTGTGAAATAAACCAATTGACCAAAATTTCAATGATTCTAATTTCACACTCCTGAATTCTTATGGCAAATGTAGGAATTGCAAATTCATGCCATTTTACCGAAATGTGACAACCTGAAATCTATTCCATCAATTTTAACCTTTTTCAGTTAAAAAGCTTCATTTTATTTAACTGTCCGTTAACCTTTTAGAAGATGTTAATTATATGGGGACTTTTATAATGACTTGGTAAGGGTTGAAATAAATTATAAACACCCACAAAATGCCCTTATAAATGTCTAGTTACAACCAAGTCAAAATTTGACCGTTTAATCAGGTGCGACCAAAAAGCCCTGTTTAACGGCAGTATCGGGTAGAAAATCCTCTTCATGGGGAGTAAACTCATATTTGTGTGTTAAAAATGCCCTTAAACACACCAATGGCCTTGGATTAAATTCTAGAATCAATCACCAACAAGCTAGGGACCTTAAACTCAATTAAAACAACTCCATAAGGAGTTCACGGCCGTAAACCCCTCATTGAAGGGTACCTAGGCCATAAACTCCTATAAAAGGGTTAAATGGTGCCCTAAAGTCCCCATTTGACATGGAAAAATGCTTAGGAAATTACCCTCTATCATTTAAGGACCTTAAACTTCCATAAAATAAAGGGATAGGAGTTCACGGCCATGAACTACCATAGGGAGTGGTTCATGGGCTGTAAACTCCCTTATAGCCGCTTTAAACACCTTAAATCCACACATACAATTTAGATTTGGGCCTAGCAAAATTCCACGATGAATATAGGGCCTTTAAGCATCCTAGAACACTCTCACGATGAGTTGATAGCCGTAAACTCATGGGGAGTTGTACCTGCGCCGTAAACACCATAAGGTGAGTTTACCCTTGAAGAGTAAACTCCATTCCTAAGCCATTTGAGCCCTTATATGTTACCCGGGACACCCCAAACACTTAACCAAAGTGTTTTCCGCTCCTTAGAGTGCGTATACTTGTTTAATTAGTATTAAATATACTAATTGTATGTGAACATATGTTATCATATCAGTTATCATATCAATCACATGCGATTGATAACCCGCATGCACAAGAATTTACCACATTATAAACTGTTTTACCGAGTAGGATACTATAAATGGTTTTCTAAAATGTTTTCATTTGTTCATAATTCTTACACATATTTAAATTGGTTTATGAAAGGTTTTCAAACTTATTTTATCAAAGAATACTAGGTTGTGACTATCTTAAGTATAAAGGTTTTTCCAAGGTTTTCATCAAAGTTCTCTTTCATGTCGAATACTCTTGCTTGTTAGATGTCGCTGCTTCGCTTTTACATAGTTTAAACTCCTACATGATAACATTTCCACTTTGCGATATGATTATATTGGTAACACTTATACTTCACGATTCGATTGTTGCACACTATTCGTTCACACTTTATGATTCAGTTATTCCACACTGTACGTTATACATCACGATGCATTTCCACTTGTTACACACTCAGTAGTAGATAGATGTATGTTTGTATTTTGTATAGGTGCATATAAATAATGACTGAAGGGAGTTAGGAAGGCTTGTCCGCCCTATTTCCTTTTCTTCGTTGAGATGTGGTCTGTTGGGATCGGGTGGCCGTACGAAGATCGTTGATTCATTAGTTGTATGTTATGTATGCGAGCATTGACATATAGGTTTACTCTAGTCAGTCCAGTTATGAGTCTCTACCCCTAGTTTAGCACTTATATATGAAACCCACTACCCACTATATGGGATGCATCTTCGGGACACGGCCTTCTCC